TACAGAAATAAAGCCCGTAAAATGAAGACCAATAAGCCTACTGAGCTAAGGCAGTGTCAAATCGGGCTGTCACAACTGATACCACCTTGTATTATTGCATCATGGTAAAAACCAGAGTAGCTGTGACGGGTGTAAGTAGTGCAGCTATACATTTAGCTAAGCGCAAAAGACATGAGGGAGAGCGAGATGTAAAGTCACACGTACGGGAACATAAAGAACGAAACGGTCACAAAATCTACCGATGCCCTTAAGAATGTGATGGGGAAAAATACGGGAAAGTTTCTGTCATGGCTCCAGGTCATTTTACTACTCATTTGACCAGTATCTTTCTTGCAGGGGAGCTTTGGTCCGCTTGCGATGCTCACGGAATACTTTTAGTGTGCGGTTACGATCAAGGGGCGAGTGGAACTTTATGACCATAGCATTAGTGGTGGTACCTGACCGCGAAGGGCGAAAAATGTTTGTGGCGAAATGGTAATGTCATTGTGCATTGGAAGCTACCTGGAAAGTACCTGTCAAAATGTATAAATATCCTACCTAAATATTAGACAGGGTGTTTAAACTTAGGGCTGATGATACCCGGGGCTTTTATTACCCGGGTAGCCGGGTATTACCCGATTTGCCCGGGTACCCGGGTAATATACATATGTTGATGCCGGTTGTACGAAAAACACCCGGGTAACGCGACATAAAGCTTCTTGTATAATCTTTTTGGTGAGGATAAATATTTTTTCCGTGAGACAAATTTTTTTGATACATTTTTTTATGTCTAGAATGTACGCGACTATGTAAACCTATCCGCTAGCCTGAGTAGATGCAGACAAGAAAAATAAATTAAAACATTGGTTTCTGTACTTAAATTCAAACTTCTAGTTTTTGTAAATGCATATACATACATGCATGTGTACATATGTATGTATGTTTGTATATTTAAAAAATATTAATATTTTAAAACAGCGACCGAGAACAAAATATATGATCGAAACTAAATGTCGTTCTCGTAGTTTGTTCCCAAGAACGCGTCAAAACCAAAACCAAAATGAGAACAAAACTGACGAGAACGTTCTCATTGGAAATTATATAAGAACAAAACCCTGTGGAACGTTCCCAGAGAGAACAAACTGCGAACAATACTTTCGGGGACATTTCTAAGAGAACAAAATGCTAACAAATTTTTCTGGCAAAGAAAAAACGGAAACAAAATTCTAAGGAACTTTCACTCGAAGAACAATTTGGGAGCTAAAGTCCCAGGAACTTTCTCGAAAAAGGAACAAATCTTCTCTGAACTATCTCATAGCGTTCCATGACTTTGAAATGTTTGAATATTAGAGTTAATCAAAAGAGAACTGAAAGAGAGTTATGCAAATAAAGTTAACGAAAGCCTTAAGACACGAACTTTTCTTTCACAGAAAATGAAAAATTGTTCCAATAATGGACAGTTCACCATAATGATAAACGATCCGGAAGTTGAAATGATCCAGCTTTCCTCTGGCTTAGAATTAACATCCGTGGTTCTCAATGAAAAAACTTTTCCTCCAAACACGCAGACTACCCTCTCATTCTTAACGTCAAGTTTTCAAAACTTTTGTTCTCGCCTTGTTCTCTAGCAGGACGATCCCCAGACTTTTGTTCTTTTTTTCTTTTATGTTTTGTTGTTCGCTTTGTGTATTTCGGCTCACCCTGGTGTTGATTTTTGTCAAGTACAGTAAAACCCGCTTAAGAACCTCACGAAAAATGTTAGCTTTTTGAGGAACTTAGGCGGGTTGGGTACTTAAAAGAACCCGCTTAAGGACCTCGATGCGGGTACTTAAGCGAACATAATGTGTGATGTAGGTACATCTTCTTGTTAACTTACATAAATAAGTCCTTGAATAAAACATAAACATTTAATAAAGTATACGTAAGTTAAAACCAAGATCGTAGCATTATTTAAACGCGTTAACACATAAAGGAAAACTTTATTAAAAAACAGATAAAGCAATGTTATGCCATTTTAACAAGAGTAAAATTAAAAAGTCATTGATTGTACATATTTATACATACATACAAACAGGGCGTATCATTTTGGACCAAATTAAAAATGATATTTTATTAATTTTGATGAGCTTCTTTGGCCTAGTTGGTGATTAGTGCAAGTAAAAACAACGTGGATGTAGAAAAGAGAGAGAGGACAAGATACACACTAGAGAGCCTTCGCATATTAGAGAATAGAAAAAGAACGATGAATACAAAAGAAGACACAGATGATATTGCGGCTACTTATTTATTATGTTTGTGACAAGAAAATCAGTATGACAAGTGTACCAAACGATAATGGTACAATGCTCTAGCTTTTAAGTGTTTATGTTTTAGTGTTTATATGTTTATGTGTTTATATGTTAACAAATATACGTATATGAAAGTAAGTGTATATTTTTGCTGCGTGATAAATTCAAATATTTGAGACTTTATTAACTACATGTTCAATGTAACTTTTGTTCCTAATTGTTTTTGTTTGTATCTTCTTTTGTTTGTTAATTTAAAATAAAGATTGGCCCCTGAGGATGCTAAGGAGTTTAGCGAAACGTAGGGCAAAGCAGTGAAGAAAAAACGTTGTTTTTACTTGCACTAATCACCAACTAGGCCAAAGAAGCTCATCAAAATTAATAAAATTTACGAAGAAAATTGGCCAGAAAATAACAAATTATATTAAAAATGATATTGTTTGCCACTTATGTATGTTTATTTTTTAATTTTTAAAATTTTTCAATTAAAAATATTCATTCCCTAACAAATACCATAGAAACTTAAAATATAAGCTTAAAATTTTGCAGAACACTAAAAAAAGTTCATAAAAATTTTTCAGAAGTGTTTAAATTTTTTATGAGTATACAGTTTCATAGCCCATTAAATTTTAGTGCGCAGTTTGTGGAAGGTGTGTAGCGCTGCCACTGAATTTCAAAATATGTAAATGTTTAAGGAAATTTAAAAAAAGCACTTAAAAGGGGAATATTATAAGTAAAATGGTAAATGGGGTACGAAAAATGTAGGTACTTAGGGGGGTTGGGTACATAAGCGGGGAGGTACTTAAAAGAGCGATTCTCTTCAGAATACATTAAAAAATTCACCGTGCCCAAAAATGTTGGGAAGCGGGTTAGATACTTAAGCGGGGGGGTACTTAAGCGGGTTTCACTGTACCTACTTTTTATCATTATTATTACATACATGGCGTATGAGTAACATTCTTACCTAGTCATATTTTATAAAAACGAAATGATTATTATTATTATTTTTAGCTCCCTACAGTTTAATACTTCTACAATCGTAAAATTATTGCTACTACCTTGAGATACGAACATTTGTTATAATATTTCCCCATATGGTATGGAAGATTCTTAAAGATTTTCCCTATGTACGTTGGTTTGCGGTATATAATGGTAAATGCGCTTAATTTTTACTTCTCCACATTTTTTCGGGTGCTCGGGTAACCGTGTAATTACCATACTGCCCGGGTACCGGGTCTACCCAGGTAGCTCATTACCCGGGTGAAATCATCAGCCCTAGTTTAAAGTGATGTAAAAAAGCAAAATTCATTAAAATAAAGTAGAAAAGCAAAGAAACAAATTGGCAAAATATGTATTGAATTAAATAAATTCCTGCATTTATATGACATTTCAGTATTTTAAAGCTTTTTGGCCAATAACTCTAAGACTTAATAAAACTTTTTTGCTGTTTTCGTCAGAGTTTGTTTAAAGTTTTTTATAGATATTGAGTCTAACCCTGTAGCATTCTGATTCTTTTTCACTTGTAAGTATGCACAATGGCAATGTTGCGAATAAAGTTGTATGGTAGTATTGCACTTTAGCTTGATACGGCCAAAAATTGGCGAAAAATTTCGAGAGTGGTATCAATTGACGCGTTTTAATGCCAGTAAGAATAATCCTAGAGCGGAAATTAACTTTTTCGGTTAATTGAAGAGGTATTATTTTTTGAACCATTTCACGCAAATAAATGGAGTAAATGGAGTGAGACATTAGCACAAAAAAATATCAAAATATTCGCCATAAAAAAGCGTTTGCATTGTTCAACTAATCGCTTTCAACAAAGTTGGTCGCCAGCCAACATTTAGCCCTTCAACTTTTTTTCGTGCAACCCGGCGTGAGGTGAACACAAGAGTTGAACGCATGAACCAAAAATACAAGATCACGTAAGAACGCGACGTTGTATTTGTAACTGGTTTTGAGAAAAAGGTTTGCGAAAGCGGGTTCGTCAGCTGAGCGTTTGTTTACATCACAAGCACCACTATTTTACACTTTTATTCAAGTAAAGAAGAGTTAATTCAACATGACAACACATTTTAAAGCATTTTGTTGCATCATATTACCTAAATTGTGCGTTTAAAGTGGTTGACAATAATTTTGGCTAATTTTGGTTTTCGTTGTTTTCTTTGCTTTGTTTACTTTTCGCTCGTTTTCCAGTGAAACAAGATGGCGTAGAATCCGCTAAAAAAATCGACTTTTTTCACTCTCTTGTTCTTACGTGATCTTGTGTCTTTCGTTCATGAGTTGAACGCAAATTCGCCTCGTTAAACGAAAACCAGTTTTCGCTGAAAACTACTTGAAAACTTACATTCCACTCATTCCAATCGGTGTCTTTACTAGTTTTTTTTCGATTGTTTATCAAAGTGGAAGTCATATTTTATCATCTTTAATACGCCATTTCGGATTAAAGCTGATGCCAGATAAAACTTTGTAGCTTTGCGTGACATTTATAACTTTGCCAGCAAAGCGCCAGATGCAAAAGGTATGTCACAATGAACGCCAAGAAAACAATTTTGTACTGATTTTTTACTCGTCAAAATTACTGTGGATTTTATATATTTTGTTTAAAAATATCAGCAATGTAATTAAGTTTTATGTTTCTAGAAGTGTTTTCGTTTTCGGTCAGAATCATGATTCAATAATTAAAGGTTAGATAAACTGACAGTTGTCCCTCTCGCACCGCTCCCTTAGGCATGGCACCAAAAAAATAGTAGTTTTACGTATAAAAAAGTACTATACGGTAAATTTCTATTCGAAATAAGCAACGTTGACATCACTGCTGCCATTATTGCTCTTTGTTTTCTTCATATTCGCTGTCATTTGATTTTTCCGATTGCGTGAATTTGGATAAGTTTGCCAATAATTTCGAGCTATTTCTTAATACAGTTAAAGTTTTTAATTATTAATGTGTAATATATCTAATTTGCTTGATAATTAAGCGCAGCGCATACAATTTGGGTCCCACTGTGAGGTACTATTTTAACAATTGTATTTTCTGGTCGTGCGGGACGTGGTCATGTATAAATTCCGCTTTTATTTAATTAAATCTATTATAAATCGGTTTCTTTCCAGAAAACCTTGTCCGAAGCTTTTAAAAAGTGACTATAAAGTGGCAATTTAACCAGTGAACTTTTTTCTTTAAAGGATTCTTTGTGTTTTCACTTTTTGGCTTTCGACTTCAGCGCTGCTCCAATTGTTAATTTTTCCTGCCCCAGAGCAGCGACATCATCAATTCGCTTTTGTGGACACTGTGTTCCATTCACACACACGTAAGTTTAATTAAAACAAGTGACTATAAGCAAACAATTTAACAAGTGAACTCTTTTCTTTTCAGGTTTCTTTGTGCTGCATTTTTTCTGCTTCGTATGGAGCGCATTTCCGACTAACGCATCTGTGGACACTGAGCTCCGACTAACACACACACACGTAAGTTTAATTAAAACAAGTGACTATAAGCAAACAATCTAACAAGTGAACCCTTTTCTTTCCAGGTTTCTTTGTGCTGCATTTTTTCTGCTTCATAGGAGCGGATTTCCGACTAACGCATCTGTGGACACTGAGCTCCGACTAACACACACACACGTAAGTTTAATTAAAACAAGTGACTATAAGCAAACAATCTAACAAGTGAACCCTTTTCTTTCCAGGTTTCTTTGTGCTGCATTTTTTCTGCTTCGTATGGAGCGCATTTCCGACTAACGCATCTGTGGGCACTGAGTTCCGACTAACACACACACACGTAAGTTTAATTAAAACAAGTGACTATAAGCAAACAATCTAACAAGTGAACCCTTTTCTTTCCAGGTTTCTTTGTGCTGCATTTTTTCTGCTTCGTAGGAGCGCATTTCCGACTAACGCATCTGTGGGCACTGAGTTCCGACTAACACACACACACGTAATTTTAATTAAAACAAGTGACTATAAGCAAACAATCTGACAAGTGAACCCTTTTCTTTCCAAGTTTCTTTGTGCTGCATTTTTTCTGCTTCATAGGAGCGCATTTCCGACTAACGCATCTGTGGACACTGAGTTCCGACTAACACACACACACGTAATTTTAATTAAAACAAGTGGCTATAAGCAAACAATCTAACAAGAGAACCCTTTTCTTTCCAGGTTTCTTTGTGCTACATTTTTCCTGCTTCATAGGAGCGCATTTCCGACTAACGCATCTGGGGACACTGAGTTCCGGCTAACACACACACACACGTATAATCGCTGCTTCTCCGTTTAAAGTGTTTTGTATGTAAGTTAAAATAAGTTATTTCAGCCGTGCTTATTCATAAGATGATATTTCCAAATTACATTAAATTTTTAAATGTAAGCGTTACTAATTTCAGTGGGGTTAAAATAAATTTTTGTGGCAATAAATAACATCTGAAGTCATTTTGTTGCTTTAGTAAAATGTATACAAATTTATGTAAAAGGCAACAAAAAAGGTAAAAGGCAAAATTTATGTAAAAGGCCAATTGTACGAAAGTAATTTGACGGATTTAGCTGTTATTTATTGGCTCCTTTATATTTGGTACATTTCTGTGTCCGTTTAAATTAGCTTAAGTGAATTTCGAGGGTTTAACATTTAATTAAGATATAATTAGATAAAATAAGAGATACACCTATAATAAGAGTTACTTTAAAGGGAAAATGGCCTATTTCAGCTTAAGCTAACTGACGGACACAAATTTATTCTAAGTTACATATATCAAACAAAATCCTTAAGTAGAAATATCATCTTAAATACTTTTTTCGAAAATGTGAGAATTCTATTCACAAGTGCGAGATTGCATACAATACTTGTACATGTTTATTTTGCTTAGCAGCATGTATGTAGTTATATAATAATAATAATAGATTGGCGCTTACACATATGTTAGTGTTTGGCCGAGCTTCTCGTCCGACTTGTGGTGTGCGCCTTGATGTTGTCACACAAAGCGGAGGGACCTACAGTTTTACGCCGACTCCGAACGGCGATTGTATTTTTATGAGAAACTGTTTTTCATGGCAGAAATACACTCGGAGGTTTGCCATTGCCTGCCGAGGGACGACCGCTGTTAAGAAAAAACCTTTTTCTATATATTTTGCGATGTTGCTTTGACCATTGAGTTATATATGTACATATAATTTAAAGGCTTTAGCTAGTTAATGTTAGTCAAATATAAAAATTAATAATGCAATGAAAATTATTAATATGTAATTAATTTTACAAGTAATTAATTTCTTTTAATTAAATGGTTTCTTATAAATTTGCTTTAATTAAATGGTTGATTAATAATAATAAGTAATTAATTTATTTTGATTAAATGGTAATTTATTATTAATAAGTAATTAAATTTTAATTTAAAAAGGTAAATAAAATTAACTGTTGCCCCTTTGAATTTTTCAATTAAGTTGCCAGTCTCAAGTGCAGAACCATATATGCTAATTAAATTTCGTTTTTAATATAGTTAATTCAAAATGCCGAAAGCAAGTTGTGTTTTGTGCCGAAAAACATGGACTCAAGAAGGAGTCAAGATGTTCCATGTCCCACAAAATGATATAAAAAGAAAAAAAATGGTCCGACTCTTGCGGAGTCCAACTAAGTCCTGCGGCGAAATTGTGTTCACATAATTTCTCATCGGCCGATTTTATGTCAGGTTCCGATCGTAAAAGGGTGAGGCTATTAGACAATGCCTTACCGTTAGCGATTGAGAGTCTTTGCGATTGGGAAGAAACTTCTTCCAAGTTTATCGATATTGCAACCCAAACTGAGTAAATATAAATGTAAATGCAAAATTGATATATACTAACTGTTTTTGCTTTAGACCAATAGATTGCCAAGTTGAATTGCTCGAAGCAGAAGTAGCAAACCTGAAAGCGCGCGTTAAGGAGCTGGAGAAATTAGAAAACTTTGTTTTGTTAATTTTTACAAATGGTCAGGTACGCAAACTGCGTGATGCGGATAAGAAAGTCCATTGGGCATGGAAAGATATTTCTTCTGCTATTGCGCTGCACGCGGCAGGCCCAAGGGCTTATGGGTATTTATGTAGTAAGGGTTTTCCTTTCCCTGTGAATCAATCAACCATTCGAAAATGGCTACAAAAAATCACAGTGGACGAAGGTGTGTTGAGCTTCTCATTGAATGTCATGAAAAGCAGAAATGAGGTGCCGGTTGCGGACAGGCTGTGTATTTTAAGCTTCGATGAGATGAAAGTCGAATCGGTTTACGAGTACGGTGCTACATCCGACGCTGTTCGGAAACCCTGCAAATACGTGCAGTTAGCAATCGCGCGTGGATTGAAGGCCTCGTGGAAGCAACCGGTATTCTGCGCCTATGACTGCAAGATGACCAAATAGATTTTGGATAATCATGTAGTCAAATTGCAAGAAGTAGGGTTCACCGTGGTAGGAATAGTATCCGATATGAGCGCAGGGAATCAGTCCCTGTGGAAGGAACTGAATGTTAACTGTGGTGGGAAACTGTGTATGTAGCTCACCATAGTTTATTATATTATATTTATTTTTAGAGCAAACCTGGTTTCCGAACCCCGCTATCAACGGGAAGATTTTTGTCTTTGCGGACGTACCTCATCTCCTAAAGTTGGTTCGGACCATTTCCTCGACACAGGTTATGTGTTCAAAGGAAACTCATTTACGCATCAAACAATTGTTCAGTTGCTCACTTTGACTTCGGTGTCAGATGCATCAATTGCATACAAATTAACAGAAACACACCTCACGGTTCATCACGCAGGACGGCAAAAGGTAAAGCTGGCTGTCCAACTGTTTTCCCATAACACGGCAAGCGCAATTAGACAATGTTATGCGATGGGGCATAATATGCACAACGCTTTAGAAACGGCCGAATTCATATCCGTGGTCAACGATTAGTTCGACGTTTTAACCGCAAGTTTACCACGTTCCAGTCAATGGCATCAAAGAAACCCTTTGGCATGGAGTTGGAACTGCAAACGCAGATATTAGCGAAAATGGACGATTGCATGCAGCATACTAGGGTGACTGGGCGGCAGGCGCTGTTACCTTTTCAGAAAGGAGTTCTTCTAAGCAACAATTCTCTCAGAAGTTTGTATGAATATGTGAAGGAGGGATATGCTTTCTTCGATTCCAAACTATATACTCAATATCTTATATTAGCTCGTAACACGGAAAGCTACGCTGCTCGAGGAAATGTGGAAACCGACGATACCGGGTGGCTTCGCCTCAGTGACACATCAGTAGAAAATCTAAAAGGCCTTCTTACTGATGATAAGGTGGTTTCCGAGGAATTCGCATTTTCTAATGAGCTAGCGTTTCCCAATGAGGTCGAGCAAGGCGTAGATATAAGCACGAGGATGCCTTGGAATACATCGCTGGTTTCATTATCAGAAAGTTGGGCTTAGCGCAATATATTTCAAAGGAGCATATGTACACTTGGGTTGACGAAGTCTCCAGAGGCTCCTTGACCAAGCCATCCAGCGATTTTTTGGATGTTATCAAAAGCTTGGAGATCGAGTTGAAGACATACAATGGCGACAAAATAAAGCCTTGCTCAGAATATTTGGCTAAGCTCAACGCATGTTCGCAACACATTAGTGCCAGCGATGATGTGAAGAAATTATTTTTTAAAACGCGTATGTACCAGTTGATAAAGAACCTCAATAAGGCGCAAAAACAACAAAAGAGACCGGTTTCTCTAAATCAAGGTAAATCATTAAAAGAAAATAGAAAACTTAGTTTTTATTTATTTAGAAAAATATATATTTTATTGTTTGTTTACTTTTAGCTTGCCCACATCGTAGGTCAGCTCCTCACCCCGCAAGCTCCGCAATATAGCATCTTATCGCAAGTACTTCTTGTCTCGCAAGTTCCGCACCATCACGCAAGTACTATTTCTACGCCAGTACGCTATGTAATTTCACCAATGGGTAATCATTCTACCAATGCATAATCATTCGGATAAGCTTGCAGTAATTACACTCATTTAGTTTTCAATCAAATTTTCATATACAAAATTTGTGTATTATTTTTAGCACCTGGCACACCACTGACCCAAAACTAGTCCACTAGGTAACTGACAACGCAACGCAAATATCTGTCGATTTTACTTTAACGCGCGAATTTAATTCACATTTTCATTATGTAGTTGTAACCCAACATGCGCTGGCCGAAGCATGGACGAGGATTTCACTTGTAAATCGGAAACAACGAAATCTTACAAAAAATACGTTGTGGAATAAAACTATTGGCACTTTGCTTACGATTAAGCTCACGAGGACACAATGAAACAAAGTATACAAATTTTATAAATATGTTAAACTAAAGAACTAATTATTTATTCTTATTTCAGTTAAAAGCGCCTAACGTCGCGACTGGGTCCTGGCTGTAGAAGTATGATTTCTAAATAACGGTCCCTTTAAGCAGTCAGCGGTTACATGCACCTACAAGATAGCATACAAGCGAACTCAACTAACTATAAATGAACTATAAGTTCAGTATTTTTCAACTAGGAAAGACTACACCTCGACTACTCTACGTTGCTTTCAACTGACTACTTTTACATGATGATGTTGCATATATACATATGTACTTACATATGAAACCTGCATGACTTTGAAGCCAATTAAAAGTTTGCCGTAATAATTTGGCCAAAAGTTGACTATTGAGTCGATTACGAAATTCTTGACTTTCCGTCAGAGCTGTAAAACTGTGAAATCATTTAAAATTTTAATCATGAAATATTTACAAGTAGGATTTCATTAATTTTCCTTTGGTCTGGTAGTGTGACTTATATTTTTTTCAATCTCCAATCATTAAAAAAAAATTGATTTCACACAGTAAGGTAGTAAATGCCTGAATGAAAAACTGAGAATGCTGAAGTAAACAGAATTCAATACTGAATTAGCTTCCAGATGAATGAACACTTTGCTATGTGTCCATTCTCTAATTCAGTTCCAATCAAATTTTATAAACTAAGAAAAATATGTAAGTTTAAATGATGGAATAATGAGGTGTATGAACTTTAAAACGATATTGACATAGTGTCGCGTATCAATGCACAGCGGCCACGCGGGCTAAGCCATGTCCTACGAATGAATGGTTGTGCTTGGACTCCTCCACGCATGAAACGCAGCTTGATTCACATGAACATATTGTACAAATTTATAGTTTTGGTTGCTTGAAAACTGAGTGAAAAATGTTCCAAGACAATTAGTTTCTATAACTTTTTTCTTTTAAAGATTGGAAAATCTGCAGAACATGAAATAATCAAGCATAACAACCATCAAATGATAGCAGCTTTTATCATTCAGTCCATGGTTTATCCACATACATATAATGTCTTTTTTAAAATACATATGTGCCAATTTTCGCGCGGCCACCCTTTATGATCAGTTTTTATTTGAAAAGAACGATATTCTCATTTCCCAATACCAGGCGCTCATGCATGTGAAGTAACAAGTTTTCTATTTCTACGTACAAAATTGTTTGTATAAATTTTTAAATTTCCAAAATTCTACTTTGTACAGTTCAAAGGCTTCTACAAAAAAAAATTTTTAAAGTTCCACAAACAAATTTATACATATAGAAAACTTGCTACTTCATATGTATGAGCGCCTGGTATTGAGAAATAAAAATATCTCTTTGTACCATATATGTATTACTCCTATATTGGCAGTAAGAGCTAGTACCATGATAAAAACATAACAACGTAAAACCATTGAGAGGCAGTCTGACGTTTGCCAACATTATAATTTTAAAATCAAAACTCAAACTCACACACACATTCTCATTTTCAATCTCAAACAACAACAATTGTGAACAATTTAATTTTATTATTTTCAATTTTATATGATTTTAAAATGTTGGCAAACGTCAGAACAAAATCATGGCCGACGAATTGAGAGAATGAATTNCATATATGTATTACTCCTATATTGGCAGTAAGAGCTAGTACCATGATAAAAACATAACAA